GTGGAGCCTCCGGCGGCCAGTCTACGGTCTCCGCCAGGCACCGCGTGAGTGGCACGACACACTGAGGACTACACTTGCGGCTCTTGGGTTTGTTCCCTCTACTGCCAACCCGTCGCTGTTTCTACGCACCGACACTTCTTTGCCGCCGTTCTACATCCTCGTGTACGTCGACGACTTGGTCTTTGCCACAGCTGACACTGCTGGACTCGCCCACGTGAAGTCCGAGCTGCAGAAGAGACACACGTGCACTGACCTGGGTGAACTGCGCAGCTACCTTGGCTTGCAGATCACCCGGGACAGAGCACGCCGCACCATTACCCTGACTCAGTCACACATGGTGCAGCAGGTCCTTCAGCGCTTCGGCTTCACGTACTCCTCGCCTCAGGCCACTCCTCTGCCTACTCGCCACTCGCTCTTAGCTCTACCTTTGGATGAGTCTTTAGAGTCGAGTGGCCCGTACCCAGAGCTTGTTGGCTGTCTCATGTACCTGATGACCTGCACACGACCTGACCTTGCATACCCTCTTAGCATTCTCGCACGCTATGTTGCTCCTGGGAGACACAGACCGGAGCACATGGCTGCAGCGAAGAGGGTGTTGCGCTTCTTGTGTAGTACGTCGGGCATGGGGCTTGTGCTTGGAGGGCAGAGTCCAGTGGTTCTCACTGGGCACGCAGACGCTTCTTGGGCTGACGACCAGGCTACGCAGCGGTCGTCACAGGGTTACACCTTCAGCCTTGGTTCCGGTTCTGTTTCTTGGCGGGCTACTCGTTCGTCTTCTGTTCTCGGCTCCAGTTGTGAGGCTGAGATCTACGCAGGAGCCATGGCTGCACAGGAGCTTCGCTGGCTCACCTACCTGCTGACTGGCCTCGGAGAGCCGCCTCGTTCTCCTCTAGTGCTGTACGTCGACAACAAAGCCATGAAGGCCTTGTGTCGGGATCAGAGACTGGAGCATAGAACGAAGCACATTGCTCTCCGCTACTTTCTTGCTCGTGAGCTGCAGCGGCGTGGTCAGCTGCGTCTTGCGTACGTGGCCTCTGAGGCCAACACTGCTGATATCTTCACCAAGGCACTTGCGCCTTGTGATCATCAGCGCTTCTGTACTCAGCTGGGTCTTGTGCCTGCCTTGCCTCACTTGCTCACCTCTTGACCTTGCTTCTCCTGTTACATATATATATACACCTGCTCTTGCTTGTCTAGTCTTTTATATATATGTACTCCTGCATGTGAACTGGCCTTGTGGCCTTGAACTTGTGCTCGGAATGTGTGGTGACTTTGTGATCCACCCTGAGCTTGCTTTGATTTGCTTTGCTTGACTGGTCTTGTGACCCCTTGTTCTCCCCCAGTTTGCCTATGGGGGTGTGTCAGAACATATAGCTTATGCATATTGTGTAGGCTATAGTGGGGTAGCCCATAAGGGGTACAACCCAATTAGGGTTAGTACTTGTACCCAACTCATTCATAGTTCATTCATTCTCGTTTCAGTTTTCTCAGGATGCCATTCGTTTGCTAGCACAATTCTGTCTTATTGACAGTTCTCCGCGTTCAATGCGTTGACACAATCTGACTCATCATTTTCCGCCAAACAAAACCACGCCCCAGTGTAGGTGAACTCCTCTAAGTTGATTTGTAGACCGTTGATCCCACACCAAAATCTCCAACTGTCAAATCTTGACCATCAACCTTTACAGCCTCCCCCCCAAATGAGCATCTCTTCCATCTTGATTCTCCCACCCCCTTCCCTCACACATATATCTCTTTGTCTCCGTATTCCATGTTTCAACACTTCAATGCACTTGTTTCTCCTGTCCGCCTGAGCCGTTCTTCTCATTAGTATCCACCCAGCAACGGAATCGTCCCGTTCTTGTCGATCCGCCGTGTTCCAGGCGTAACGGCACTGGGTTTCGCGCTGCTCGTAACATTGTCGGCCGGTCCTTTAGAGTTCGAAGTTTTTTGTAGTTGCGAAATTGAGAACTGGGGAAGGGGGAGGGGGAGGGGGAGGGGGGAAGGGGGGGGGGGGGAGGGGAAGGATGTTACACATTACGCTGTCAACACGTGCTATGCTACAGCAGCACATCTTCTCTCCCTGTGCCCTTCCTTCTCGTTCCCTCTCCGTCCCCCCTTCTCCTTTTCTTTCCCCTCTTCCTGCCCCCCTTTTAGGTCGTATATGAGATCCGCTTCAGTCAATGATCATACTTTTCTTACTATGCTTGCTGCAACCCTTGCAACCTCTCCCATTCCTCTGTCCTTTCTGATCTCTCTACTCTCCCAACACACCAGCCTTACCACACCAGCAGATTTTCTTTCGTCACGCCCTGCATATGCCAAACGTGCGGCTTTTCAGAGCTTAGGGCAGCTGCGTTGAATTGGAAAGACCCATTTGAAGCATTTGATTATTTGGCTCCATCCAATATATAGAGATTATAGTAAGGTTGCAATATAAGGCTTGTTCTCATTGTAACATGTTTTTAGTGCAGTAGGTGTGCTGCTGTGTTTTTTACACCAAGATTGCCCGGTTGAATAAAGTGTAGGCTGGGTGTTATGTGCATTTTATTTAAAGCTAACATTTTGGATTGATGATTGTAATTACGAAACGCTACCATGATACGATTCAGAATTGATATTTGTACGGAGTGTAGAATTTGAATATATAGACCCTGTCATAATAAATCAAAGGTTTAATCACAAATTATATTAATCATTCACTATTCATTTAGATCAAAAGCACGTTTTAGAGATCGCAAATTTTATTAGTGTTATCCCCCTCGCTACTATATATCAAATAAAATGGTGATGCTGGCGGTGGGTGTCAAAAGTCGAAGAACCAGAATTCTTCACGCGCAACACATTTATTAGTTAGTTACAGGGCTGGACAAGAACCGATGCGCATTCCACATTCAGTCAGCCAATCACATTTGTTACCGAACCTAACACAAACTTGATCGATTGGTTCCAGAAACCCTGGCCGCGATTGCCTTGAAGAATCGCGCATGAAAAAGGCACTTCACCAGAATGTTGCGAGTTACTTGAACTGAAGTTAGTGTCGAGGCCCTCAAAAGTTACTTTTCACGCCCGCCAATTTCCTGATGATTTTAACTCCCTCTTCCTGCCGTTCACCATATTTCGCCATCCGCACGAGCCTTTTTCTTTCTCCATATCCCCTCACGCATCCCCGCCAAGGACAGGCAATGCGGTAATGAGTCGCTCAAAGGACAAGCAATGCGGTAATGAGTCGCTCAAAGGACAAGCAATGCGGTAATGAATGGCGCCAAGGACAAGCAATGCGGTAATGAGTGGCGCCAAGGACAAGCAACGCGGTAATGAGTGGCGCCAAGGACAAGCAATGCGGTAATGAGTCGCGCTTGTTAAGTGAGGGCGAGTGCATCATAGAGAAGGCAAGCTCAAGTGTGTGTGCGTGAGAGTAGAGGCTCTTGGGCCGACAATGCTGTGTTCTCTCCCTCACCTTGTCGAGAATGCTGTGTTCTCTCCCTCACCTTGTCGAGAATGCTGTGTTCTCTCCCTCACCTTGTCGACAATGCTGTGTTCTCTCCGTCACCTTGTCGACAATGCTGTGTTCTCTCCCTCACCTTGTTGAGAATGCTGTGTTCTCTCCCTCACTGCACTGCGTCATGCCCTGATGACTCCCCTTTCAGGGTTGCTGCCAACACGTGCAGCAGGCATCCTTTACTTCATTAGGCTCTTCTGTGTCATCCCTCCCCTGCCACCTGCTAAGCTTGCTTCCCTTGCCCCTTGCTCGCCCCTGCCCTGGTGTGTGCAGCGCCCCCACCCTCCTGTGCCACCATTGTGTGTCCGACCAACTCCACCTGCAATGCCACTGCCGACCCGCCCTGCATCTGCAATAAGGGGCTCAGCCTGACACACGGCCAGTGCGTTGGTGAGCCTTTCCCTTCTCACCCTCGTCCTTCTCACCATCTTCCTTCTCACCCTCTTGCTTCTCTCCTTGTTTCTTCTCGTACTCTTCCTTCTCCCTCTCTTCTTTCTCTCCCTCTTCTCTCCTTCTTTCTCCCCCTCTACTTTGTCTCCCCCTTCCTTCTGTTATTCTCGCCCCTCACTCTTTCTTCTCTCCCACATCCTTCTCAACCTCTTGCCTCTCAAAATTGATTTTCTCGCGCTTTCTCGTCTCCTTCTTGCCTCTTACTCTTGCTTCTCGCCCTCTTGCTTCTCATCCCCTTTGTCTCTCACTCTTGCTTTTCGCCCTCTTGCTTCTCACCTTGTTTCTTCTCACCCTCTTCCTTCTCCCCCTCTTCGTTCTCTCAATCGTCCTCCTCTGACTCTTCCTTTTCACTCGCTTGCCTGACCCTCTTGCTTCTCTCCCTCTTCCTTCTCGCTCTCTGGCCTCTCACTCTTGCTCTCTCCCTATTCATTCTCATTCTCCTGCCTCTCACGCTTCCTTCTCACACTGTTTTGCCCTACTCTTGCTCCTTGCCCTCTTGCTTCTCTTCCTTCACCTCTTCAATCCACCTGTTCATTTTGCTGCTCGTGTTCTCAAGTCAAGGATTCCTCCCTCTGCCTCACACGAGAGGCCTCATCTAAAAAATCCCTATTGAGTTTACATAGCTTTTACATACTCGAACCATACTTGCTTGTATGGTTTTAGGTGGTTTGATTAGGGCTACTAAAACGTAGAAATTGGCGTATGTTTTTTGTAGGCTTCAAATGTCTACGAATTAGTAATGCTCAAACAGTATATGTTTGTATTCCATTTGTATGTGTCTCGTTATATTTCAGTGGCCTAAACACTAATCATTTGCCTTTCTTTTGTTGACAAAATCTTATAGAATCATACTTCAAATGTAGGACAACTAGCATGATGTTTGTATGGATTGGAATCATACTGAATGCTCATTGACCATGATTCACTTAGATGCCTGATGATTCATGAATTAGAATCCAACATTGATAATTACTAGAATTCCAGTACAATCACAACAATTAATCCACCATCCGACTTCCAGTATCCTTTCTCTCACACATCTTTAACACTACACAATGTCTTCGGCATCCTCCCACTCACCCACGTCATCAAGGACGTCGCGCTCCATAGTGGCAGCACTTTCGTTGGAGCACGTCTTCTTCTTTTTCCCCTTCTGCACTTCCAGCTGGGAGAACTCATAGAGGCGCTTGACAGCGGCCTTTTCCTTGCCATCGGGGTCAGCTCCAACTGGGGTGAGGTCCGGGAACCCACTCCCCGAGATGACCACGGTCTCAGTGGGCCCAAACACCCATCCCTAGTGCTGCTCAGACCAGGCGGGGAGCTCGTTGTTGGGGGCATGCTCAAGAGTGTGGCGGATTGCCGCCTTCACCTTGCGGTGGTAGTGGGCAATGTCGTCCGCATTCACACAGGCATCCGTGGGAATGCGCTTTCCGCGTGCCTTATGATGCACCACGGAATACTCCACCTGCCAACATGTGGAGAATGCAAATGATAAGGCTTAAAATTATTGGTGAAGAAAATTCAGCAAGATGCAAGCTTCGTCTTATAGCAGCCAATGCAATGGTTTTAGCTATTCGACACATCCTGCTATGCATACCAGGTAGAGGGTGTAGGCAATGTGGTACGCCTTCACCATCGTCACCGCCCCACCAGCACCCTTCTGGAACGCGTTGCGAATGATGAGATCGAACAGTGCGGTAGCAAAAGGGCGGTTCAGCTCCTCCGAGAAGTGCCAACGAAGAAGGCCACCCCTTACTGCGAATGTGTAGGGGACAATATGGAAGGGTTTATGAGAGTCAGTGGTGTTCTGGTGTAAATCACAGCAGAACAATGCATAAGATCAGCTGCTGAAGGTATAACCTGAGAGAGTTTGGGAGAGAGAAGCAGGGATGGGGGGGACAACGAAAGCAGGGAGAAGAGAAGAAAAGGGGGGAGAGGGGCTGAGCGTTGAGACTTGCCACGGATACTTGCACCTCGTGTCACGCGTGGGGTCCTGCGGGCTGACTCTGACTTGGCAAAGGGAAGCAAGCAGGTAGAGTAAAGCAGAGAGATATGGTAATGTCAAACACACTGACCACATGTCCCACGAAAAGCCTAGAAGCAGCTGAAAGAGATTGGGAGAGAGAAGCATGGATGGAGGGGACAATGAAAGAAGGGAGAAGATTGGGGACAGTGGCTGAAAGTTAAAGACGTTCCACGAGAACTAGCACCACGTGTCACACGTGAGGTCCTGCAAGCTGACTTTGACTTGGGCAAGGGGAGCAAGCAGGTTTAGTGAATCAGATAGACATGGCCAAATTTTCAAACACACTGACCACATGTCCCACGAAATGCCTAGGATCAGGACTTTACTCAAGCCTGAAGTAGTGAGGGAAAAGGGAGAGGTGGATGGAAGCGTTAAGGGAAGAATGTGGAAGGGGACGTGGGCAGCAAATGAACGAGAGTTGTGCATTAGCGGTCAAGCTGGTGCACAGAAGAAGACAGGAAGAGCAGGACGAAGAGAGGTAAAGGGATGCAACATTCTTATACACAACAACGACGGCGAGGCACACAAGCGACTGCGAAAATTAGGAGAAAGCAACCTCAGGAAAGAAGTGTGCCACGACTCACCAAGTGGCGTAACACCTTCCAGGTTGTACACCTGGGTGGGGGTGCGCTCTTCCTCGCACACAAGTTCACTGTAATCAAACTTGAGGCGAGGATTTGCCTCACAAACGAGGCCGAAAGCATCCGCGAACATGCGACGCGCGGCCATGGAGATTTTTGCACGCCAATTGTTGCCCTTGCGCTTTGCAGACCCGGCACGAGCGACGCAGTACATCATCACTGCTCGAATGGCAGGACCCTTACTCGTGCCCCACACTCCAATAAGGCACTCCAAAACGAGACCATCGGATGGGTACATGCTGCTGACGTCGTCAGCTGGCGAAACAGCTTCACCTGAATTGCGAGCTCCATTTTCTTCTGCGGTGGTGGGGCAAAGTAGGAAAAGAGATGTAAGTCAAAATGGGCAGAGCATCTTGGATGCACACTAGTTGGACGAGAAGAATTTTTTGCATGACAGGAGTAGGGAGAGAGAACGTGGAAGGGCGGGGTGGGAAGGGGCGGGGTGGGAAGGGGCGGGGTGGGGTGGGAAGGGGCGGGCTGGGGTGGGAACGTAAAAGGGCGGGGTCCAAATGCACCACTCTCCCACACCAACACCCGACCCCAACACACTCCCCATCATTCTCCATCCCAAAACACCAAGTCCCCCTGGTTCATTGCATGGCTCACACTACTTACATTCCATGCCTTGCCATAAGCAGGGAGCTGACGCATCAGAAGCTGGTCCTTCAGAGGGATGCCACTAAGGGAAGTGTGCAGTACGACGTCGCATACGCCCGGATCCGCGAAAGTCGGGTAATCCCGCTTGCGCTTCTGACCATCACTGCGCGCTGCTGCCGGTTGATTCGCCGGCGTGCGTTCGACCACCTCGTGTTCGGATGGGGCGCCACGCCTTGTTTTGCCCTTTTCCGCCGTGGAGCCACGCTCATTGCCAATCTGGCGCAAGAGCAAAGAAATCAGCACCGACTGCTGCTGCGTGGTGCGCTTCAAATCTGCCACACGATCTTCTGCACTCGAGGCACCAGGCTCCTTCGGCGCCGCCCGATGAACACCGTCCAGCGGGCTCTCCACCTGACGGGCTTTTGCAGCAGCGTCCTGACCACGATTGGTAACGTTATTGAGCGTGTCCTGGCGGCCTTCGCCTAAATCAAAGGTAAACGCACCATCGTCATTAGTAGCATATTCTTACATCATCACACAACAGAAACAACAGAGGCAAAACATTAATCCAAAACTGGTATGTAAACTAACAAGAACATCATACTTGCCGCATCTGGACGTTGGTTTCCATTGTTGTGGTTGCCCCTAAGAAGTTCTTCCTCGTCCTCATGATCGCTGAAGTCGTCCGCGTTGATCTGAACCCCAAGAGGAGCTGCTTCCCCATCGTGGCCACCGCGGTTGCTAGGAGCAGCAGGCTCGCACTCGCCATCGCTGTTGCTTTCCTCCTCATGCACGGGCTCGCCAGGGAGAGCAGGCAACTTTTCGTTGCCTTCGGGATCGTCAGCAGGTCGCTTGCCCTTGTCGAGCGCCAACTCCTTAAGTTTGTTCCTGGCGAGCTTGCGACCACTCGAGTTAACAGCGCCACGCAAACGATTCCCAAGACCTCCAGCGCCCTGCATCTTGGCCGTCAGCTTGATAGGTCACTTGCCACCCTGCTCATTTCGCACAGCAGCAATGGAAGCCATGGAAACGGTCCGTGCAGGGCGATGAAACCGAGGCTGGAGGGATAGTAAACGAGTCACGAAAGTTTATGATACTAGAATGGACAATGAGAGATCTTAAATACCTAAGACTATGACTTACGTTCTAAACGTTTAAGAAAAGTTCGTTGTTTCAGGTGTCTGTGCAAGAAGGGCAGGTGCTCCTGCCGTAAGTGCAGGTGAAATGTGTTGTGGCGCAGGTGCGTGGTGCATAGTTCTAAGCGCTTCCGCCTTCTGCTGGTCGCACAGCTATCTGTTGACGACGTTGGGTTTTCATAGCTATGGAGCCTCATACTTGCTGCTGGAAAGTCTATGTATGTTCTCAGCGGGAAAACGGCTGGCTGTTGGCGCCAAATGGCCATTGATCTCCTGGCGCCTATCCTTACGGAGAGCAACGAGCGTAGGAATGATGGGATGACTGCTCTCCGTGGTCCTCTTTGGCTGGAAGGCGAGGACTTGACTTTGGAGTTTGAAAGTTTGAACACAACACGAAATCTGAACCGTATAGTTGCTCATCTAGCGGTTGACGACATTGGAGTCTCATAACCATGAGGACTCAAGCTCGTTGATGCATCTAGGATGACTCTTAATGGTGTGAGAGAAAAAAAACGCCTGGCTGTTGACGCCAAATGGCAAATAATCTCCTGGCGCCCTTGGGTACTTCGAGAGCTACGAGAAGAGGAAATGACGGGAGGACTGGTGTTCGTGTTCCTCTCTCTGGCTAGAAAACAGCAGCAGCGAGGTTTGAAATTTTGAAAGTTTGAACAATCGAATAGAGAAGATGAAATCTGAGCCACACGATCAGTCGTGACCAAGCAATCCTAGCTGCTAGCGAAGAATAGGTTAACAGTAACAGTACAACTAGGGGTGAGTGCACGATGCTCCATCACGGAAAATCATGCTGCTGTACTAAATCTCAACCGTAGATCGAAATTCCTGGCCTCAGGGCGTGACCCAAAATTGATTCAATTTCGAATGTAGCTAGGTTTAGCACGATGCTAATGGGTTCAGTGTGACAACATTTCGAAACTAAAATGCTACAGCTCAGTACCGATCTATAAACTGTCACACCTAGCCAAAATTCAAATCGAATTGGCTTCACAATTTTGTAGTAACGCGCCCTAACCCATATCGTCTTTTGCCGCAAAGACCTGACAAGGTAGGCAACAGGTTACTGTTTACGAAATGTGTGGACCATTGGGGAAAGGCACTGCCATGTCTTTTAACGACAATGAATCTGGACACCAATAAAAACATCCACTGCAAAAAAACGACAAGGGGGTCCACCGATTGAGAACGTTCTCTCTTGTTTCCCTCAATGTTGAGCACACCTGGTCGGTATTCGGTAACACAAAAGCTATTGTGGTAGCAATGTTCAGTACTTAGTTGTCCGTAATAAAGATATATTTTAAATTTATTGCCTACAAATAGACATGGCCGTATTGGAACATACATTCCTTCCATCCGATTAATTTATTAAGATGCCATGTAGACACAGACGGTCTAACACAATTGAGGGCACCAAACTGAACCAATTATATGTTCTTGTTGTTCTATTCTTCCTTGTTTTCCATCACATCCATCTCCCCGTCGGCGGCGCTGTCGTTGTTGTTGTCATCGTCGTCTACAACGTTCACATCGTTGCTATCGTCGTCGATGAGTTGCTGCTGCTTCTGATGCTGTTGTTTTTGCTGTTGTTGTTTTAATTGCTGTTCCCATTGTTGTTGTTGCTGTTGTAGCTGTTGCTCTTGCAGCTGTTGCAGCTGTTGTTGTTGTTGCTGCTGTTGGAATAACCGAAATGTTATCATAAACATTCCCAAAGGCTCTTCACTCCCGCGTCACTCCATAACGAAGTGCACGCCTATACCAGTACCGCAATAGCTCATACAGAGCACGCGGAAGGTCGAAGGTCACCCGAAGGTCAACAGTCGAAGACAGTCAACGGTCGTGACCCTTGACTGCCGAGTAACCGCACGAGGCAGTTGCAAAGTGCAACATGGTAACTGCCTAAGAATGACAATAGTCGTGGGTTACTGTAGCAATGCAATTCAGTTAATAAGGGAAAGTACTCCGCAGAGTACATGGCTTGCTTGGAATGCAATTTATATCGTTGTACTTTTATCTTATAATCATCTTGTTCTTTTTCAATTCCTTATCAACAAGGTCACCACAGAGACTTCATTGTCTCCTCTCAGACTCAGCAGATCTTATCCTGTCTACTTGATCATTTGGTTACATCAGCAGTTGCTGCTGCCGCTACTGCTGCTGCTGCTGCTGCTGCTGCTGTTGCTGCTGCTGCTGTTGCTGCTGCTGTTGCTGCTACTACTGTTGCTGCTGCTGGTGGTGCTGTTGGTGCTGCTGCTGTTGGTGCTGTCGCTGTTGCTGTCGTCGTCGCGTCGCTGGCGTCGCTGTCGTCTCTGTCGTCATTGCGACGCTGGCGTATCTGTCTTCGCTGCTGCCGCTGCTACTTTTGCTGCATATGTTGTTGCTTTTGTTGTTGTTGTTTTTGTTGTTTTTGCTGCTGCTATTGGTGTGGTTGTTGTTGTTGTTGTTGTCGTTGATGTGTTTAATGTTGTCATTGTTTGTCGTCATAGTCGTCGTTTCCGCCGCCGTCGTCGTCATCATCGTCGTCGTCGTCGTGGTTGTTGCTGTTGCTGCTCTTGCTTCTGTTGTTCCTGTGGCTGCTGCTTCTGCTAGTGATGCTGGTGCTGCTGCTGGTGCTACTGCCGCTGCTGCTATCGTCGCTGTTCTTGCTCCTGTTGTCGTTGTTGTTGTCTGCGTTGTTGTGTGTGTTGTTGTCGTTGTTGGGATCGTTGTTGGGATCGTTGTTGTTGTCGTTGTTGTTGTAGTTGTGGTTGTGGGTGTTGTTGTCATTGTGGTTGTTGACGTTGTTGTTTCGAGCATTGTAGTGTGTGTTGTTGTTGTTCTTGGGATTGTTGTTGTGGGTGTTGTTGTCGTTGTGGTTGTTGACGTTGTTTTTTCGAGCGTTGTAGTGTGTGTTGTTGTTGTTCTTGGGATTGTTGTTGTCGTCGTCTTTGTCGTCGTCGTCGTCGTCGTTCTTCTTCTTCTGCTGCTGCTGTGGTTGTCGTCGATTTTATGGTGCTTTGTTGAGACGGAGGATTTGTGAGTCGATTTATATTGTTAATTTCAGGTGTTAATAAGCAATGACACTACACACACCCAAACTTACCACAACCTTAGAGATTTTTGAGATTACATATCCCTTTAAATAATGCAGACACAACTTTAACGAACCAAACAAATTGTTACAAATTGTGCAAGTTTGACAGTTCGAGATTCAAAACTTCGAAGTTGATGAGTGAGAGTGGATTTAAAGTATGCGCATCGCTCCCATAATCTCCCTGCACCGCTGCGACTTAGCCTAGTACTTCTCGCTCGCCATCCCCTCGTGCTCTCACGATCCCCCGTGTCGGCCGTGTCCCTGGATGATGACTCTTACTATAAATCGCCAACAATTTCAGTCACTCTTTTGTGTTCGTCCAGAATCCAGTGATGGCATCTACTCCTCTCACGCGGGTAGTGCTGATGCTGAGCCTCATCATAAGCTTATGGTGCTCTGTGTTTTTCGCCACTCAAAGAGCTCTCAGCATTCATCAAGCCAACAATGTCGAGTGTAGATTTCATCGCGCTCGTCTTCGAGAGGAGGGATACGTTAACGGGCCGTATAGGGCTATCCCGAATGGGTGGTTTATCCTGTATGAGAACAGGTGGTGGTGGCGGTAGCTGCCGTCCCTGGAACTGTTGGTTGGGGTCCTTGTAGGGCTTAAGTAGCTGAACATGGAAAGCATTGTGAAGCTTCCACGTAGTAGGTAAGCACAAGTGGAATGTTACTGGTGTCACCTGTGCCTCAACGAGAAAAGGACCACAGAAGCGAGGCCGGAGTTTGGATGGGAGGTGAGACATGTTCAAGTTGCGCGTGTCAAGAAGCACCTGATCTCCGACTGCTACTGAGTGATCACGTCGCTGACGATCGGCATACTGCTTCTGGGAGGTCTGCATCGTGGTGAGTCGACGCTGAGTCTTCTCCCATAGCTGCTGCATGGTGGTGACGAAGTCATGTGCGGCTTGGACGTGTGCCGGTGTAGTTGGCTGCTATGGTGTGAGTGGTTCCCGTCCGTAACATAGGAAGAAAGGAGTTTTCCTTGTGGTGGCATGTGATGCGTTGTTGTAAGTGAACTCTAGGGTCGGTAACTGTGTGTCCCAGTGGCTGATGTTGTCTTTGCAAGCTGTGCGCAGCAAATATTCAACCACTTGATTGAGTCGCTCTGTCTGTCCGTCGGTCTGGGGGTGGTATGCTGAAGACATTGCAAGCTTTGTCCCCAACAGTCCCATGAGCTCCTTCCAGAACTTACTGGTGAATTTTGGGTCTCTGTCTGAGATGAGTGTAGCGGGGATGCCGTGGATAGTGATGATGCGGTCGAAGAGGAGGCGAGCAGTTGCTTCAGCTGTAGCTGTGGCGTTGGTCGGTATGAAGTGACCCATTTTGGAGAACTTATCGATGACTACGAGGATGGAATCGCGCCCCCGTGAGGTCGAAGGAAGTCGTGTGGTAAAGTCGAGGCTAACGACCTGCCATGGTTGCTCCGGTACGGGTAGAGGCTGAAGTAACCCTGCTTTTTTCTGCTTGCTGCTCTTCATCGGCTGGCACGTGTCGCACGAGGTGACGAACTGCTGCACCTCTGCTGCCATCCCGGGCCAATCGTAATACTTTGCTATCCCTGCTAATGTTTTGTTGCTCCCGAAATGTCCCGCGTAAGGTACGTCGTGAAACTCCTCCAATAGGATCTACCGTAGTGGGGCGTAATTCGGTTTCCAAATATTTCCTGAACCCTTCCTTACAGCTAAGTCTTTCTGCCACTGTAAAAGCTTCTTGGTCTGTGCCGTAGCGATCTCTGCGT